AATCTACCATACTATGATGAATAAGAAGTATGCTCTATGATAAGACTGTGCATATTTTTTTTTATTACCATTGATATGTATATAATGTCTTAAACCTAGACTGACATACCATCTCCGCTCAGAATCGTTTTTCTCATACAATGATATTATATCATTGAATTCAAATTTTATAACATCTATTATAGTGCCCCACTTGTAACCTACTGTACAGCAGAGATCCTTTTTTATTTTTAATATTGATATTTTTTAAATGCCAATATAAATGTTCACAATTAGAACAGTGCTAATGTATTTATTCATTAATTTTTAGTGTTGGAGTGTATAAAAATGGACGAGTAGAAATCATAGCCAATGATCAAGGTAATAGAATTACTCCATCATATGTTGCATTCACCAAAGAAGGAGAACGTCTTATTGGTGATGCAGCTAAAAATCAGCTTACTACAAATCCTGAAAATACAGTATTTGATGCTAAGCGATTAATTGGTCGTGATTGGTCTGACGTCAATGTTCAACATGACGTTGAATTCTTCCCATTCAAAGTAATTGTTTACATTTTTATCCATTTCTATAACTTTGTATTCATATTTTGTGTTGTTGTTTTTTAGGTGGTTGAAAGAAATACTAAGCCTCACATTGAAGTTGAAACTATTGAAGGTACATCCAAAGTGTTTGCACCAGAAGAAATTTCCGCTATGGTATTAGCAAAGATGAAAGAAACTGCCGAAGCGTACTTAGGAAAAACTGTAACACATGCAGTCGTCACTGTACCCGCTTATTTCAATGATGGTCAACGTCAAGCAACAAAAGATGCAGGAGCTATTGCTGGTCTTACAGTCATGAGAATCATAAATGAGCCAACAGCGGCAGCTATAGCATACGGTTTAGATAAAAAGGAAGGAGAAAAAAATGTTCTTGTATTCGATTTGGGCGGTGGTACCTTTGATGTATCATTGTTGACAATTGATAATGGTGTCTTTGAAGTAGTGTCTACAAATGGAGATACTCATTTAGGTGGACAAGATTTTGATCAAAGAGTAATGGATCATTTCATTAAGTTATATCAGAAGAAGACGGGTAAGAACATCAGAAAAGATAACCGAGCTGTTCAAAAGTTGAGACGTGAAATCGAAAAGGCCAAGCGTGGTCTTTCTGCCAGTCATCAAGTGCGCATTGAAATTGAAAGTTTCTTCGAAGGAGATGATTTCTCTGAGACTCTTACTCGTGCCAAATTTGAAGAACTTAACATTGATTTATTTAGATCTACCATGAAACCTGTTCAAAAAGTCATGGAGGATGCTGATATGAATAAAAAAGATATTGATGAGATTGTGTTGGTGGGTGGTAGTACTAGAATCCCTAAGGTACAACAGCTGGTTAAAGAATATTTCAATGGAAAGGAACCATCACGTGGTATTAATCCAGATGAAGCTGTAGCTTACGGTGCTGCTGTTCAAGCTGGTGTTTTGTCGGGTGAACAAGATACAGATGGAATCATTCTTTTGGATGTAAATCCTTTAACTATGGGTATTGAAACAGCTGGTGGAGTTATGACTAAATTGGTTTCACGTAACACAGTTATACCGACGAAGAAAAGTCAAATTTTCTCCACTGCTGTTGACAATCAAAACACTGTAACTATTCAAGTATTTGAAGGTGAACGACCAATGACCAAGGATAATCATCTTCTGGGAAAATTTGATCTTACTGGAATACCACCAGCACCTAGAGGAGTTCCACAAATTGAAGTTACATTTGAAGTCGATGCTAATGGTATTCTGAAAGTTAGTGCGGAAGAAAAAGGAACTGGTAACCGAGAAATGATTGTCATTACCAATGAACAAAATAGGTTAACTCCAGATGACATAGAACGTATGATCAAGGAAGCTGAGAAGTTTGCTGATGATGACAAGAAATTGAAGGAACGTGTAGAATCTAGAAATGATCTAGAATCTTATACATACTCGTTAAAGAGTCAAATTGTTGATAACGAAAAATTGGGTGGCAAGGTATGGATAATTTTTTTTTTTGATCTTTTTAAATTTTTTCTCATGTATTATTTTTTCTGCATTTAGTTGGCAGATTCTGAAAAAACGAAATTGGAAGAAATTATTGATGCTAAGATTAAATGGTTAGATGAAAATCAAGATGCCGACCCTGAACAATTCAAAACACAAAAAACCGAATTGGAGAGTGTTGTCAACCCAATTATATCAAAATTATATGCTACTACTGGTGATGTTCCTCCTCAACCTGCAGGAGATGCTGAAAAAGATGAACTTTAAAAATAGATTAGTTTATAAATTTACTTCCTTTTGGATAATGTATGTTAAGCAGTTAGGTAACAATTAGATAATATATTTTTTTCTATGTATGTAATTCATAATTTTTATAAATTGTTCGAGCTATTCTGTTTTTTGTACAATAAACATTTAAAATCCATTTGATAAGACCATCTATTAAGCAAAATTAATTTTATTTTTTAAATTCTGTCGGCAATGTGTACAAATTATATTAACTAAATTAAAATCCATTCATTTGAAACATTAAATTAACATGTTACACTGTTTATAAATACTTAAAAATGTATGATTAATTACCTTTTATGACAAAATAATAACTTTTAATTAAGGTTTGTACTTAATGTATTCTATATTTTTTATAGTTAAGTTTGGTATTATTTCTAACTGAAGTTTAACTTGAAAAAGCAAATTATAGCCAGACTTGTTAACTTTCTAAATGAACATCCATTTTTTAATGAAAACGAATTTTCTTTCAGGAATAATTTATCTAAAAATAATGCATTATATTGTGCCACTAAATTTATATATGATAATCTTGATTTAAAAAAAATTTACATTGAGTACTTTTAATTTTTAATCACAAATCTAAAGTAGAATATTATATTTATGCTATTAGGTACCTATCTAAATTAATATACATGTAATATGTAATAATATACTAATACAATTTTAACGTTCACACAATTGTATGTTAATTAAGTGATATCCATTATGATTCACATAGTATATGTATTCAATACTTGAAGATTCAGATTCAATTTGGTTGAAGAAGCTACACATGTGTATATTCAATAAATAACACCTATCATATTTTGAATTTAATATTCGTTTTTCGTAAATAGGTAGTTAAAAACATTAGCTACTCATTACAAATTTTGGTGAATTTATTCATGTTGTCTGAAAACCACCCTATCATGAAATATTTTAGGTTGGTTTATCAGAGCAACAGCCTTGCTAATCCAGCAGAGTACCTATACCGTTAGTTGGGATATAGGTAAATTGAAGTAACTTTTGTTTTCAAGTTAATCACAGACAAATGACACTTTAAGACTACCTATATAAGTTGTTAATTTAATTTAATTTAATTTAGAAAGTTAACAAGTCTGGTTTTAATACATTTTTCCAGAAGCTTAGCGATAGTTATTGTAATAGTGATTTTGGTCCATAACTGTTCCAACTTCTTATATCTTTAGTCTTATAAAGTGGAATAACAATTGAATTCTGAAAAAAAAAGGAAATTCACCAGTTAAAAAGCATTTATTAAAATAATAGACAAAGTTAAAGATAAATTAATTGATGTTTTTTTCATTATAGTATTATTCAATAAACCTTCATAATAAGATGAATAATTATGTAGGGTTATTATTATAATTCAATAGGGTCGTAGGGCTTAGAAAAATAGATTTTTCAATATGACAGTTATAATTTAGCTAATTAAATTGTTTGTATGTAAAACCATCATGACTAATATTTGAAGCTATATTACTTCCAACCTTAACAAAAAATGAATTAAAAATATTAGCGACTTCTTTTGAGTTATAGATAACCCTACCTGGCTCATATTGGATTTCATTAATGATAGTTTGTTTATTAACTTTAGTATTAGAAGATATTTTTATAAAATCCCATACTTTTTTAGTATTATTGCCAGTTAATTCAAATTGTGTATTATAGTATGAGTTTCTAGAAATTTTTCTTAAGATATTTAATATATTTCTATAAATGTTATAATATTTTTTATAATGAGCCTTAAAAGGTTGACACTTCATTTTATTATACATTTTTTCCATAACTCTAACAGACTTAAGAAGACCCAAAGAATTTCAGGGTTTTAGCTTGCATTTTTTACTATTAATATGTGAGTAATTATTAGTAGATGCTAAAATTAAATCATTGATTTTATTTTTAAAAATATCGACTGAGCTATCAACATTTTTATTATCTAGCAGGGTATTTCAATCTTCAATTCTAATTAAGATATTTAGATGTTTAAAGTCAATTGTTTTAAATTCAATATTTAAATCATTGTTAGCCTTAGTGTTTTGAATATTTAAATAACCAATATTAATATTTATGATTAAACTAAAATGATCAGTTATGCTACTGTGTAGTACATAAGATGATACTTCATTAACATTAACATTTTTTACAAATAAGTAATCAATATATATATTAGAATGACTACTAATTCTTGTAAGATTATAACAAGCAGTGTAAAAATTATTGATATATAAAATATTCAAATATTCAACTGTTTCAAGATTATTTGATAAAATATCAATATTAATATCACTACTCAAGATTTAATTATAACTATGCTTATATTGTGATAAATAATTATTCAGAGAAAACAAGAAATCTTCCAAAATATAACTATACTCTATTCACAATGAGATTATTACTCGGCGGTATAGTTGTGCGCATGGGCGTGGCTGATTATAGGCCATAATACCGAAAAAATTAAAGCGAAAAGAAAATAGCGAAAAAAATAAAAGCGAAGTTTATATAATTACGAAATCAAAAATAGCGAAAAAATATTAGTGTAATAAGTACAAGTATAAAAATATAATACAAAAAAATGCACAAAATTATAGTTACATTTGTAGAGTTAAATTGTATGCGATACCTTTTAAATAATTAATGTTGTCGTTAATATTGTAAGACAAGGTTAAATTACGTATTTTTTCTGAACAATTTTTATATATTTTTTTTGATGTTTTTTATCACCAGCAATGAACTGTTCCATTTCGGAGTGCACTTAAATGTACCATCAACAAACCAGTTATTATATTTTTCCATTAATTCTAGATTCTCTTTTGTAAAAAATATTAAAATACGTTCATCTGATGGGCCGCTATCGTACTGCATGAATTGCCTTCCATCTTTAGTTAAAGTATACCTTTCGGGTATTTGGAGGTTAACAAGTGACTGAGGATTCGGCGGTGCACAATCATTACATTGGCGTACTCTTCTTAACGTGTGTTTTAAATTAGATATTTCGGGTAATGCACCTGATATCACTGGATTTAATTGTGATGAAGCGATTATTTGTTGAGGGTTATCTTGTGACGATAGTGCTTGGGATTTCATTCTCTCGACTTCTTTTTTTACTTCTAATTTGCATATATCTGGAACGTGGTTATGCTCTGAAGGCTCTTTTTTTAATTATATTATCACTTGAAGTTGTTTATCGAACCTTACATTTCATATCTATACATTTCCAATACTTCGATTCCTTGTACATTTTTTCCTCTCTATATGTATAATAACTATTATAAACTAGTAAAAGCTTATTTTTATTAGATTTAATGAATTCCATAACTTAAAAATTCAAATTTAAAAAATACAGTTCATATAAGAAATATAATAATAAGCACAACACTTTGCAAACATTTGTCACATTGTCGAACGTTGTACAAAACTATTTGATGTCCATATAGTATATTAGGTTACATTATGTACACTATTCACGACAAAACGACAAAAGCGATAACGGATATTACCTTGAGTCACAATAATAATGACAGACTAATAGAGATTACATTATTCCCTAATCTCTGTTTAATATTTACTATGAAAACAAGAGTTTTCCCCTAAACATTCGATATATTATTTTTCGCTATAATTAAGTTTCGTTATTTTTATTTTCGATATTTTTAATTCGCTATTCTTCTATTCGCTATTTTTTTTTCGCTATTTTGGGCGGTTGCCGGCGTGGCTTTGTTTCATAGCAGTGTCCGACGCGTTGCCATAGTAGGGACGGTGTCTCACCATATGTCTGACTGCCGCCCAACAAAAACTGGTCGCCGCCGAGTAATGATCTCATTGTGAATAGAGTATAGGTGATCTATATAAACTGGTCAGATAAAATAGTGAATTAAATTTATCAATAGTTATTTCAATAGAATTACAATTAGATATAATTTGTTTTCAGAAGGTCTTAATTTTACATAATTTGCTATTTACAAATATTGATAAACAATCTCATACCCTCATTTAACCAAGTCTCACTCAAAACAATAACATCAAAACTATGATTAATAGAAGTTTACAACAGTAAAAGTTCATTTATATTAGCTTTCAGACTTCTAATATTCATACAAAAAATGGAAAAACTGGACATTGAAATACTTATTTTCTAAACTATTAATATTTAAAGTTTGAACATGATTTATACCGTTTAATTCATGTAATAGGTAATTTGAATTGTCAATCATTAAAAGATAAACTTACATTATAAAATAACTTCAAATACACCATAGATGTAATTTGTGCATAGAAGATACAATTATACAAACGAATGTATTATAAAATAAGTATTCAATATAAATTTAAATAAATGAGATATAATTCATAATTTAAATAATTGACCAGAAATGTATAAGGGCAAGTGTAGACCAAACACCAAAATCTTCTCCTATATCGTATTTTGAAGTGGTCATATCTCAAAATCTATTGAATTTAAATAAGAAATTTAAACGGAGAAGTTCTTAAAAAAAATAGTATTATAAGTTGTTGGTATTGATTATAGGTGTTACCATTTAAAAATCCAAAGTTGATACATGTTTATCATATAACAAAAAGTGCTAACATTTTAGAAATAATAATTACTTGTAGATTTTATTAAATTTCAACATTTCCAAAAAAACAAATTTAAAAAAGTTAAAACTTTTTGAAATAATAAGTGTCTTATGTTAAATGGATCACTCTGTATAAGTCAATATAACAGCTAGTAAAATGGTATGAATTGTGAATGTATGATATAGGGTGCGACATCAACCCGACAATTTAAAATGAACTGGTGGGCTTGGCTAGAGCGGTAAAGATTTTGGGAATGTTCTTATCGCTTTTAAATAATCGGAATTTAGTAATCATGGAGCATTAGTCGAGTGAACAGTGTACGTTTGTGGTAAAAGTGTATTACAAAAGTAATGATATATGTAATAGTACTGTGTGGCTAACCAAGGAAGGCATTTGCCTGGCACAATCTTTAAAAAATTAAGTTTTTAAATATATAACATAAAATTCCACTTGTGTAATTTTTATTTGTTTGGCAAAAAATTAATAAATTTTTTTTTCTATTTTGACTACCGCACACTGTACAATATGCCCATTGAATCATCCAGGTACATGAACAACTAAAAATGTATAATATAGCTTAGGAATATAAACTTACTTCAAATTTAACATTTGTGGTTAGCACTTAAAATTTTTAATATGCTTTCCGTTTATGAACATACTGGTACTGTACTCTTTTCCACTTCAATTTCATCATTTATTGAAACTTGGGCAATAATCTTAGCATAGTTTTCAACGTATGTTAGGTCGGTGGCATTTCCCTATAATAAAATATGGCAAAACAAATTAATATCAAATTATGTTCGATGTTTTGTTAATATAATAGTAACTATGTTCGCTTTTATGACTAAGACAAAATTAATACTTTGACATTATATTTTTAAATAATACACTTAGTAACATAGGTACAATCTAAGTAATTTTATAAACACGACAAATTATATTTTCAAAAGAATTTACAATGGCTGCATCATCTACTGCGTGTCACTCATTTGCTTTATTTTATATAAATAAGCATGAGATATGTTTAAAGTGTTTAATTTACATTTTAAATTTAAAACAGAATATTAGTTTCAATACATATTTACATTATTATAATCAATAACTATTAGCATACTCAAGATTCAAGTCAAACTTGAGTTTTGATTATTAATCATTTTTTTTTTTATTCCACAAGTCTATATAAAGTATAAAGTACACATAACATAGATACCTATTACATTCTCAATTTTAATGAATATACCATCAAAATTTATAATTATTTATTCTATTGGCAAAAAAACTGCCTGTAGTAAATTTAATATTCCTGCCTATATGTGAATTTAAATTTTATGAATAGATTTAATACCTACGCACATTATATTTTATCAAAAAACGATCCAACAATGAAAGGCTCACTGAATGCTTGTTGTACATTATTAATAGTTATCTATCTACAGATGTACTTGTTTTCTATTGATTTCATAAAGAAGATATTATATAATTACAATGACATAATTCGCTCAAATTATAATTACGTACATTATTATTTTCTGTATACAATAATGTTTTTATTAATTTCCAGATATATTACATTATTACCAGAGCGTTATTCATAGCATTCTAAGGTCGAGAAACTGACTTATAATAGTTAACAATATACCTATTAGTATGCAATGTAATGTAATTATTAATTCAACATACACTGTACTCTAGTCAATAAAAGAAATTCAATTACTAATAATAATATTAATATAGACTAAAAATTATCCTTAAATCTTTACATATCGTCCCTGTGAACAATCATTTTCAAATTATTGAACTTAAATTTATACACACCCATTGCAGTGACCTACTCAATGACTAGGCACATACTGGTATAATTATTATACAATATACAGCAAAGTAAACATTTAATTGTATTTTTTTAGTAAGTAAATGTACACTATACTTACTTTACCTACTATAAATGTCTTTTGTAGGGGTATTAACAGCAATTAAAAATAAATCTGCTCCTTGGATAGCTTCTTCAATGTTTGTAGAAAAGAACAAATTTACATTTCTCCGTTTTTTTACAATGTCATCGAGTCCGGGCTAAAAATTAAAATTATGTTGAGTATAAATATGAAAAATTTAACATACGATTTAATCAGACGCAGATTCAGCCTACATTAACCGGTGGGGCGGATTATAAATATCTAAATATATTTACTATTTACCTACTGGTAAATACGAGTATATATTTATATTATGTATATTATAAGTATGCAATAATTGCTTATTAATTATAATGAGTGTTTTTTTTTTTAAGCTGAATTGAATGATTTTAATGAATTATTTACTATTTAAAATTTCCCTAAGAGTCGCTCAGCCCCAACGCTTCAGCTGGCAGTCGATGGTCGTCGTCCCTCAATCGGTCATAATATTGTTATCAACAATTTATAAATGTGTCTTATTAAAATAAAATATGACTATTTGTGACTAAATAATATTACAATACAATTACATAGGATAACATAAAATATTAAATATAAATAATAAGGCCAACAGGGGGGGGGGGGCAGTCGCCCCTACCACCCCTGACTGGATCCGCGCCTGGATTTAATGTATTAAATCACTTAGGTAGTAGATGGGTAATTTTTCCGAGTTCCACTGTGAAATACGATGACCATATATGTTGCTATTATACTGCATGTGGGTCCACCCACATGTCCAGCATATTTTGGTGACCGCAATAGTATTTATAGCAACTTATGAGAACCTGTAGAAAAAAATTATCTTAAATTAAAACCCAAACACTAATCCTTCATAAATCATAAACTTATAATAACAATTCAAGTATTCAAATATTGAAATGTGAAAATGTTCGATAAAATGCAAAATAGTAAAATAGTTTTAATTTTTCATTTGTGCAACATAATGCATCATAGGTATTGTCTAATTTCTAATGACTTAAACAGTGTTAAACTTTTATGTGCTAAAAATTTAAAACAAATATCTCTATATTGAGCCATTATTGGTGTACATATTGTGTAGGTAATATCGACTAGGTATCCCAACCAAATACACTAGGTAGGTAGGTAGGTCGTAAACGACGATTTGATCTAAGACACAAATTGATGAATAAAAATAATGTGATATCACATTCTGTTCCTTTTTACACATTGACGTTTACCATAAATGAATGAGAACTAATATTGATAGGTATAACTCAATATCGGTTATAACATTTTTAGAGAAAACCGCTGTGTCATCGTAGTCAGACCCGCACGCATATTAGTATTCTAGGTATAAATATTCGCAAGGCTGAGGGGCCTAGCCCCCGCAAAAACTAATCATTTCATTATTATAATTTAAAAGCATCAAGTATAGACCTGAGCTACAGCCTCCTCCCCTCAAATTTCAAAGACAATTTACACGACCATGATTCTAGGGTCTGTCTTGGCATTATAAAGCCGGTAAGATTAGGTCGGCGATGTAAACTGGCCGATTAGTAATAAAAGAGAGAGGTAGATAGACCGCAGAATGCTAAAATGCGAAAGTAGGTAAATGTAATTATTCTACTCGGGAAAACTATTACCGTGAGCATCAGGTGGTATCGGCGACTGGCGTATTGGACTGGACCGGCAGCGTCATAGCGTCGCACGCGGAGTGCGGACGGTGATAAGTAACCGGCGTCTATAGCAACAGCTGAAGCGGAACAGGGCCGACGGAGCGTTACTGAATTGTTATGATACAGGGCGCTCCCGTACGCGCAAACACTCGCGGTCGGATACTGTAACGCGAACGGATCGACAATGTCACAATGATACCGTTTCATTGATAAGCTCGGCGGCGTAGAACCGAGTCGGTTACGACCACAGACAACACAATTATTGTTGTACACTGCAGCTGATTCTCCAACACACATAATCTATAAACCTTGCGGAATACGGAACACACTGAACCACGATATGAAAACAAGGTATGATCGTAACGTTTTGACTGTCAGATCTTTCGGTAAGCACGTTACGTAGCGCAGTGTATAGTAATGATAATTTAAAGACAATATGACAATACTGGTGAGCTAGTGACGTACCAAATCTGGACTTTTGCGATCATACCGTGTTATTTACTTGTTTATATCATTAAACAGTGAACACGGAAGGCGCGTCAGAACGAAGGCAATACAATAAACATGGTAGTCATTATTCTATTCTGTGGTAGTGTACTAGTGTGTGCAACTTCACTATCAACATTTTTATTTACCACGACATTTCGGGACGAGTGCTTCGATCGTTTATTGACGGAAGACGTCTTAGCACTTGTTGTTTAGTGATATCTCAAAAATTAAATTGATAACAGGATAAACAAATTTTGTTTTGTTTTTATGAATAATTGTTTGATTATTCGGTTTTAATAATTTATTTCAAATTTTCCAACATCTGTTTACTTAATGTTTTTATAATGGATAATTCTAATGAGCGTGATTTAGTTATCAAAAATGCTATACAACAATGCTGTGATATTATATTTTTCTCTTCGTCTGATGGCAATGAATATGGATATGTAGTACATTGTTTAGAAAGTATAGAAACTAAAACCGCAATACCTAGGTTGCAAAATTATGTTGAAACAATCTTACCACAATTCAATAATGGGCAATTCAATGCTCATTTCAGGTTAGGAGGTTTTAATAATGAAATACAATGCATAAATTCACCAAATAGTTGATTACTTTTACCAGATAAGAGTAGATACAAATAAATTGTGAATATTCTACATAAATCAATTATTGTACTTTTTTATAGGATGCTTTCAACCACATTCGAATTTGTATTGACTCTAATTGCTCCAAAGTTAAATAGACAAAGCCAGGTTACAAATCTGTTTCACCAAATAAACAATTTTTTATTGCAATTTGGAAAATGGCTAATCTGGACTCTTACAAGTATTTTTGGTATACATACATAATATTATTGTTACATGCAAAGCTACTGATGTGTGTATTATATTATTATAATTATCTATGTCTATTTTATTATGCCTAAAAATTATTTAGATCAATTTGTGAAAAATTTGATGTGGGGCGGGACTGCAGTCATTGTTACTTTGGAAATTTTGGCGTCAGCTTTCATTACTTGGCCAAGCGAGGAAAAAGCTGAGGAAATTAAAAATGGATTTTTTTCTACCCGCACCTTTCCAAATGTGGTTGATGCAATTGATGGGACACATATTAACATTCCTTCACCTCATGACCATCAAGAAGCTTATGTTCAGGGACGAATTGGGCTATAGGGAAATCGGGAAATTCCCGATGGGCCGCGTACTAAATAGTAAATAGTAGGTAGATGTAAATATAATCTAATAATTAATAAATATTACCATTGATTATAGATTATTCATTCAATGATATTACAACTTATAACAGTCTATAATATTGAATATAACGAGTTAATTGATAATTATAAGTGAACATGATTTATCTAAAAATATTGGTAAATATGATCATATATAATATCTACAATATATATTATAGGAATAAAAAAGTTTTAATTTTCTTTTATACTAAAATCTTATGAAATATTTGTTCTAGCAAGTTTTTCTGAAGCTCATACAAAAGTTTTATTGGCACAAGAATCATCAGAATTATCATCGAATGACGATGATAATAATACAAGGAAAACGAGAAGGAAAATATGTTGGTCTTATAGTTCTGATGAATCTTCATTCAAAAAATCAACTCCAAACAATCCAACTCCCCTAGCCTGGTTGGCCTTGAACCCACCTGCTTCAATATGATGATGATGACTTAGAAAGTAATTATAATTATTAAAATTATTAAAATTGTATTAATTGTAGATATAGATTTAAAAAAAAAATGTAATTATCTTAGTTATATTGGTATTTATCTCATTTAATTTAATTAACACCAAACTTCTTCTTAATTATATCAATATATATTAATATATATTCTACTATTTTGAAGACAATTTTGGAGAAAATGGAAGATAAAATGAAAACTGATTTGGCATACAGAAAAACTGTGGTAATTAAATAGTGTAGATTTAACATACTAAATAAAAATTATAAAATATGATTTTTACAGGTTACAGAATTATCAAGATTGATGGGACAAAATTTGTCAGAAACTGTTTGAAAAATAATGCAAAAATCATTTAGTGATACTTTGCTTACATTCTACTCTTAACACGTAGACTGCGTATGTCTTTTTGCAGTTATCACCCAGTGCGTATGATAAAAGTAAAAACAAAAGAAATTAAAAAAAAAATATAAAGAAACTGCTCATAACGACGTATGTATACATATTTAAAAACATGCGTTTAATCCACGCTAAATAATAATAAAATAACATTCAGCCACGCGTAGGGAATTTTAAACAATTTATTTTAAATGTATATTAGACGCCATATGGCGTTAAACGCGTTGCTGAATGATACTTATGACGCCAATTGGCGTCAGTACGCAGTGAACGTGTTAAATAGGGTTTAAAGGGAAAAAGAAATTTTCAACTCTACATACTTGTGTAGTTATATTTTGTAATTCATATTTTATTAATGTATTAATTGTATAAAATGACTAAATAGGAATTTTCACATTGATTTTAATTGTGACCAATGTATAATTTATTGGCCTTTGATATTTTTTAAGGTTCGGTCTTATTGTTTATAAATAATACAAATTAAGGTAAACTTAACTGACCATAATTCTTGTAGGGCAAATATAATAATAATTTGAAAAAAGTACTTATTAACTCAATTACCGATCGGTGATAAGATTTTAATCAAGTGTTTTTTAATCAATAACTTTTTGTGATAATAAAATATAACGGTCGTACTTCAATAATAAATTATTTCTAGCTATGCAATCTGATTACACTTGTATTATTCATACTAGATATTTTTGAAATTAAAATTTTATTTTAAAATTTAATAATTGACGGAATAAAAACTATTTATAATACTGCTATTATATAACTAATACAAATCATAAAAGTACTTCATAATATAAATAGTAAAAAATTAAAATTTGAAACTATGTTTGCAGAGTCCATAAGATGAATGAAAAAATTTACCGATATACCAAATACAGAAATAGAAAAACCTTTGAAGACATGGATGGTACAAGCTTCAGCTCGCCTAAACATAATTTACGAAAAAATATCTTCACGATTAAGTTATAACCCTTTTTTGTACACAATATTGTATTTTATGGCAGTTACTGTTGTAGGTATACATACATCTTATATATATGTTTAGTATATTTACAGTTTATATATGAATTAATATACCTAATATTAATTGATTTTTTTAACCTTACAAAGGAATTGTAATATCTAGTTGTAATAATATATTATTTTACAGTTTCAATTGGTAAAATTTGTTAAAAAATTTTAATTTTAATTTTTAAGAATCCTTTGTTATTATTAAAAAATATTATAAAAGTGAGAAAATTTTATTATAACCTTTTTTATACAATATTGTATTTTATGGCAATTACTACATATATTATAGGTTTGGTATATTTACAGTTATATATGAATTAATATAATATAAATTTTTTTTTTTTAAACTTAAAAAGGAATTGTAATAATATATTATTTTACAGTTTAAATTGCTTTTTTCATTTTTTGAATCCTTTTTTGTCATTATTATATGTAAATCTTCACTTTCTTGTTTGTATTTTTTCAACATTTGAACTAGTAATGCTTATAAAACAAATTGTGATTTTGTATTTTAAATATTTTTCAACTGCCATTATTAAAATATATTTGGAGCCCTGTATTACATTTTCAAGCTGTTTAAACCAACGAATAACATTTATTTGACATTAATAGAAAAAAAAAACTAAAAAAATTGGAAACTGAAAAAAAACTTAAACAGTACAAAACAAGTCAAATAAAATCAAATAGTAAACATAGTAATTACAAGTTATTAATTCCTTTATAAATTTTCAGTTGATCATCCAGATCATGTCATAATATGCATCACATCGATAATTGTTCATAATTAACATAAGTATAATTATTATTTTAAGTACACTGTTTAAGACCTGAACTAAATATATACAAATAAAATGTGTGACAATGGTCAAGAATTAACAATTAATGAATAATCTTCAGGAAATCATTTTATTTGTATGTGTTTATTTAGGTTTAATTATTAAACAATTTATCATTATTTGTTCCACTATGAAAGTTTTGTTACAGCATAGGTACTAAATCTACCATTTAATTTATATTTATTATAAGTAAAGACCATATATTATAATTACCTACATTAAAAATATGTAAAAATTGTAATGAAAATATATCAAAATTGCAGTATCTATTATGTAATTTCATCCAAATTTGAACTTAAAATGACTATAAAAATAAACAGTGCTTATGTATTTTTAGAATTTTTGGTACCAGAATTAACTACTTACGTGGAATCTTGTTTTAAATGTTCAATCTTTAGATTTTTATTTACAATATTTTTCCACACCAAAACTAATAATAAATTAGTAATCCGGTAATCGTATAAATGTATTATGGTATACGACTATACGAGTTGGTATAAGACATATTATAATGGTATATAGTAGGTAATAAAGTGTTATACTATTACTTATTATATTATAAATTGTATAGCAGTATATAGGTTTAATATTGATGTTGTAGCCTGTAGGTATGTAGATTAATGATTTAATGCTATGTATGAACCAAATGTATAAAATATTTTAATACTTTAACCAATGATGAAATCCAATAAACTACTTTTTAACTTATGGGATATGGCTCATAGGCTTTTGGCTAAATTATTCCGAAGTGATCATAAAAATCATTTATTTTATTTAAAAACTAATCAAATTCATTATAAGAATATAATTAATGACACATATATATATATATATTAAATATTTAAATATTATCTCGAATATTATAATATTTATTAATAGTAAGCATAGGCATTTTTTTTAAAATAAAAAAAAAATTAAGGAAAAACGGGTGTTTTTACCCAAATTGGTTTTCGAATAAATCGATTTAGGTTTTTGGTTTAACTCTAAAACAAATAATACATAACATTTTCACTGAATATATTAACATTTTATATAAACCATAACATTTAAAAAATATAAAGACACTTTTTTAGCAGTTTATGGACAATTTCAGTTTCAAATTGTATTAGTTTTTTTTGACTTATTATTTTGACTAATTATCGTGTAAGAAAAAAAAAATTAAAAAAAAAACACATAGTTGTAAATACCTATACTTACATTGTAAGTACCTATCCAGTATCTAGTATCGCGATACTACAAAGCCAAGTAACTAATATCTAGTATCGCAATAATGATTTCTGAGTACCTTGTCCATACTTGAGTATACCGAGCCATTAACCCTGTGGTGGATTTTCAAAATTTTTTTGTCTAGACCTAATAAATAAAATATATTTCAAAGGTATATTTGTATTGAAACATTGCAATGCTTATTCACTCTGTTGTCTATTTTAAACTTATGCATGCAATTGTATAATTCATTTTTGTAACCGATATTTTAAAAGACCTGTTGTTATATAATTTTCTACAAATAATTAATATTAAAAAAAAATATACTACAATAATTGACAAAAAGTTATTATTTTAATCACATTATAAAAATATGATTGGTAGGAATTATTTTATTCATAAATAAATTAGAACACCAATCTCAAATGTTGAAATGAACTTTAGAATGTATTTAAATAATTAATATTGTTATTATTATTATTAATATTTATATATCTTCTATAGTGTTGAGTGGTAGGCATTAAGAGCTTACAATTCATATATGGCTTCGAGGTTTCTTTCCAGATTGAACCAGATGCCAGATGCCAGACGCCAACAATCAGTTTCAAAATATTGTCCATAATCTTGACTGGCATTGTATTCTTGAGAGTCATTTGAAGCACTAAAACAATAAATTCAATAATTGTACTGAATTTAAATTGCACTACCGTAGTATTTTATACTAACCAATAATCACACAATTAAAATTAAAATTGCAATAAAATAACATCTCACAAATATATTTATTTAATACCTTAACATAATCTATGAAATAAAATACTTAATTATTTTATACGTACATTAACAATAATAAATAATATTATGTAATAATATAATAAGTTAAATAAAATAATTATAGCTCTTTTACATTTTTTTTTTATTTATTATTCAACTTTTATTATACATAATTATCATAACTCATCATTTTTTATTTTTAAAAATATAATTTAATCACAATTATTACTTTAGTACCAGTAGAATACATAATTTTTTATTAGCAAAGGATATAATAGGAGTGCCCAAACGAAGCTCTCGAGCTACATGAGTGTTTTAAATCAGTTTCGTGTGGCTCTTGAACTAAGCTTGGACTAAAATTAATAAATATTTTTCCGTTAGAATTGTAAGATAGTGTTTTTTTCGCCATCGGTTTGGTTATCATAACAGTTGTAATTATAGATTGAAACACAGTCTGTGGCGGTGAATTTTAGTAGCCAAAATTCAGAAAACTACTCACTAACAGAAGAGTGTAATAAGAGACTTATTTAAATTTTCTGGACTACTTATGTATGTGAATCATTGTACACAACGCTTAAATAGTTAAATTCATTAAATCTAAATATAGTAATTTATATGTGAAGTGTAAAAAAATAAATTGATATAGAATTAAAAATGTGTCTTCATTTTATAAACATCGCTTTAGAATGTGGCTAGCCTCGAATTAGCTTTCTAAATTTGGGTTTACCAATATTAAGGTTAGTGGTCATCCCTGGGATATAAAATCAATATAACTTTTTGTACCTAATGTTCCTATTGCATAATATGTAACTGGAAAGTAAACATTATTTTAAATAAAATAAAAAAATATTTAGCAAATTTATTTTAAAGAATTAAAAATAATAATATTATTTTTAATAATTTTAATCATAATATAATAATAATTTTAATTTTTCCATGGGGAAATTATTTTTAACATGAAACCCCCCTTCTTAACAGTGTGTAGATAATAGAGTTGTATACAGAACTGGAGAGTTTATGTTACTAGAGTACAAAAAGGACCTACCTTAACAGTTAATATATTAGTAAAACACATACACTTTAATAACAAAGTATGCAAGTAATTAATTTAGACATCCCTTTAAGGTGCTTATAATTTCACATTAACAAATTGATATTATTATTTGTTAACTTAGTATTGAATACTTTATTGTTATATATTTGAAAATTCATTGTGAAGTTAATTAAAAAATATCAAACACTCTTACACAAGGCGTTTTGATTTTGGTATGGCAACCTTAATGGGTTTGGAACCAAGGCCTGGAAAACCATTCATATTGTTAAGAAAGTGTTTTCGCTCTTCTTCAATGGCAAAATTCATAAAACCATATCCTCTACTGAAACCATAACTGTCCAAGACCACTGAAAAATTATAACTACATATTAAACTTCTATTATAGTGAAAATGGGATTTATAAATAACATTTTTAAGTAGGTGTGGTAATAATATTATTTCAAACTTTAATTATTACCTTTAGCTTTACGTATTGATGGATAGCGGGAAGAAAACGTCTCATATAACTGATTGTCATCTACACCTGGGCTAAGATCACCTAACCACACAGAAAAACCTCTACCATTTGAAGTAAATTTTCCATCATTTAAAGTATGATTGATTTTAAATTTAACAGGCTGTAAACAATATTTATAAAAAATTATTTATGTAATTCTAAATTCTATTAACTTTATTTAAAAGAAAAACTAAGGACTATTAATTGTTAAAAAACAGTTATGTATATTATATTTAACATTTAAATAATAATTACTCATATTTAATTCATCTTTAATATTACACAACTAACATGATACAAAAATGTAGAGTATAATGCATTATATTATAAATATATTTAAATATCAGCAAGCATTTACCTATTATGATTTATGTTTTGTTAGGCAGACATACTTATATTATTTTATTTTTTGGATTTCAAAAATATCTTAAAATAATATTGGTAATGAATGCTGGTAATATATTTAAAGTTAACCTGCGGTAGTTTCAATAACAAAATTGAGTTTACCGAACAATTATATAGGTAGTTGCTAGTCATTAAGCCTCATTAACAAAGCAGCTTACTGCCTCTACTGTATAAATATTGTTATTTTTGAGTAAATTATTTACTTATTATGTAAAGCCCTAACCTAACTAAAATTCTGCGTATGTTACTTATTGCATATGGCTACTATTATCTGACTATATGGTGTATACATAGATATATAAATAAATGTTTAGATAAAACCCTTGTTTTTGTTAATTTTTCAATAGTAAAATCACCACTAGACTTGGCTCAGACATTACCAAAGAAGATAACTAAAAACCAAAATTACAACTTACTGGATTAGTACCATGTATAAATTTTCCATTGAGTTTTCGCATAACAGATACTGGATCATATAAATCAACATATGCGTAGCCAGCATTTTGCCCAGTATCTTTATTGCGAATCAACTTAACATTCTTTGGAAATTCTCCCATCTTATGAAATGCAGAAGTGATGAAACTTTCAGTCATATAAGGTTCCACCTAAAATAATAATAGGTACTTCATAGGTAGCTAATGATTATAAATTATAAACTATTTCACAAAACATACGTTCCCCATCCATACTGTTGAAAGCTTTTTTCTAGGATTTGTAGCTTGTGGCTGTTGGACTGGTATGGTTTGCCCTATAAATGTCGCAGCTGTTTGAGTTGGTTGTGGAGTGCTGTAAGCCAGTTGTTGGTTATAATTGTACATTTGATAGTTATTAGCTGGACTTTGCTGATATGGTTGAATGTACTGAAAATACTGAGGAGTGTACTGATTGGAATACATTTTGATTAAAATTATACAAATGAAAAAACAGTAAGAAACTACTAACTAATTATTGAAAAAATATTTAGATCACATGCAAATTCCAAATATCCAACAATGGGAATAATTATTAAACACAACAACACAGGTAACGTAATGGTCTCACATGCGCACTGTGAGGTTAGCCATGACAGGAGACGCCACCGTTGACCGCGCTACAAGATGCTTGATAAGAACCACTACTTGACATGGGCACCACGATTAAAGATAAACAGGTAGCATCTGATAAGGCGTGCATTATATGACCAGCTGGGAGTGGACATTTTCAGGAGGTGGGCCGATAATTGAGAATCAGGTTGGCCATGACACCTACGAGACACAGTGTGCACATTGCAATGGCAAAATAAAGAATTTTTTACATATTTGATAATTAAAATGCATATACAATTTCCGGATTGTCCACTATAAATTCTAGCCCAAATGGAGGGTTCAATGTTTGTACCTACCGCTAAATTACAATCTCGTACCCACAAGCACTTTTCAATAACTCAATATCATTATATTAGAATTTTTAATTCACTATATGAACTTTACTGCAACACAATGTTTTGACAAAATCAAAGTTACTAAATTAACTTAGTCTGATTTTAAATCTGTTAAAAGATTTGAATTCAGCAGGAAAATGTCTATAGATCGTACCGACCATTTTATATTTTTCATCGTAATTTCGACTCATAGATATTTGAGTTATCGAGGTTCCATGTATTTGGAAACCACAACAACATTATCCGGAAATGTGGCTGACCTTTCACACCAATGACCAATTGCAGAATTATAATAATATGGTGCTTGTTTTTGTTATAGCTTATCTCTAACCTCAACTTGTAATAGCCCCGCAAAATAAACTATTCAATTGTTTCTTAAAATATTAATAAACCTTTAAAAATTCAACTGTATTTCATATATCCTGTATTTTAAAAATTAAATGTTTCAAAAAATGCAGTGTGGAGTGCACTGTTTGTAAATAAACATAATAATATGAATTGTTTAAAAAATAATAAGATAAACAACTTATAAATAATTGTTGCTTTTAAAAACTTTATAAATTCATATGAAAAATAATTATGCTTGTGTGTCTTTATAATATTTTTGAACTAGGTATTATTATTATAATTTATGAGGAACCTTGGATTAAAATTTCAAGCTTTTTTACCAAATGAAAAAAAAATTAACTAAATTACATCAGTGAGGGTTAATTATAGATTATTACAATTTCAGATATTTATAGGTACCTTTAAATATTTTTTTAAATAGTATAAGGTTGTGTTTTAAAATCCTGAGACACTGACATAATACAGTCAATATGTTTATGCATCCTATTCTATTGTAGTAACATAATATTAATAAGAGTCTTTATATGTGAACACACACATATTTATATATTATATAATATATACAATATACATAGGTAAATATTTTATATATTTGGTAGGGGGGGATGATTGGTGATTTCATCATAACATGCCAATTGATTTATGTAAAAGAAAATAGTATACGTCAAGATATTATATTTTATATTTATCTAACTCCCTTTCTGTCTCTGTTAAAATTTAGGTTTTTAAATTATTATGGTAGCACCGCAGACAAGAGCCGTTGACAAAGTTATACTTCAGTATGTTGCGTATCTTGTTCCGACTATGCTAGTTTTTTTAGTTGACTTGTACAAGTAAACTAAAGTTACCAGACATAATACCCAGGCATAAACGTCTACATGTTGTTGATTTGTACGTCTTTGTAAAAAAAAATAATTATGATTACAAGACTCAATAAAGTAAGTAATTTTACCAATTCTTATCAATATGTTTTTTTTTTGTTACCAAAAATGTACCTACTTATATGATAAAAAAATATTATACTCTATAAATTTGAATGTACCTACTTTAAGTGATAATCGAGTTAAGAACGATGGCTCAATCAGAATTTGTCGCTCTCACTTAGTTTCGAAGTTATGGCCCTTGGAAGTAAGAAATTTTGCGTTTTTTTACGCATACTTGTCACGTCTTTCGCAATTTTTTTTCTTATTCGTGAGACTACTAAATAAAAAATAAACGAGTGAACAATCACGGGACTAAGAGAGGTCAACTTCACTAGAACGCAGCACTTGAAGTAATGACATTTTAACTGTGTATTAAAATATAGTTTCTTTAATAATATAATATAATCTAAAATCGTATTTATAATTGAATGATTATTATAATTAATTATTATCAGATAGGTAGGTACCTACTATAGGTATAATGTGAGAATTTATTTAAACCAGATTGACTATTTCTACTTCTAGGAGAGGAATATTTTTAATTGTCCGAGCGAGCGCAGCGAGCGAGTGACCCCGCTCGGTGACTCGTTGCAACAAACATGCAATTTTCTTAAACCTGTGACCCACTTGGGGAGGTGTTGCATAGCAAATCGGGGGATGTTTTCGTTTTTAATTGTCCGAGCGAGCGAGTGACCCCGCTCGGTGACTCGGTGCAACAAAAATGAAATTTTCTTAACCCTGTGACCCACTTGGGGAGGTGTTTCATAGCAAATCGGAGGATAAATTATTATTGCACTATCGTTTTAAACAGGTTAGAATACGTAAGTACAAAAAAATAACAAAAATAGTACTCCGCGCGGCATTATAGAGTATAGTGTTGCGCGCATGCGTATATAGACGTAAAATTGAAAACTGGAAGGCCATAACTTTGAAACTAAGTGAGAGTGACAAATTCTGATTGCACCATCGTTCTTAACTCGATGAGCTACATAAGTTCCAAAAAAAAAACCTAACCAGTCGGGGGACTGCCGGTAGAAGTGAAAACTTCTTAAGCACGTTGGGCATCCCGTAAGAAAGCATTTGCGGGTGAGGAAAAAAGTATGAAATCGCGACACCGCCACCACCACCGAGAGTAAATGTATATATATACTGTGGTATATACTGTTATACTTAAGTGTGAGCGTGTATGTGTATATATACTAGAACAATTTCACTTCGTTTTTAAAAATTTTGTAATGCTTAGGAAATAATGTACCACGAATTGTTTTATTTATCAATATAAAATACTATACATAATTATTTCAGTTATTTTACATAAAAGAAAAAAAAATTACATGTCAAAATTATTACAAATGCTTTCCAAAAATGATCCATCATTTCACCAACTCTTGCACCATTATCACTGCCAGCATCATCGCCAATTTCTAAAACTGATACAATCGGTTTATGGTAGCTAAAGTATGATACAAACAATTTTGATTCGAATTTATTCAAATATCTTGTAAAGACCGCATCAATAGTAGTTTTGTATCTTGTTGTGCTAAGATTGCGATCATTTGACATGTTCAAACCAAATTCATTTTTGAAAAATTCCAATAATGGTAGATTTTTATCGTCTGCAAAGTTTATATAATAATACCATATTGTACATTTTTTACGGCCGCCCGAAACCCGACTTTTTTGCATTTTTTTTTCACATTATTTTTCATATAAATTAAATAATAATATTATAATACAGCAATATATCGTACATTATTATTATTTAAAGTCATTGTCATATAATATTATATTATATCACCACCGAGAGTACATGTACTCTTATGTTATACTTAAGTGTGAGCGTATATGTGTATATATACTAGAACAATTTCACTTCGTTTTTAAAAATTTTGTAGTGCTTAGGAAATAATGTACCACGAATTGTTTTATTTATCAATATAAAATACTATACATAATTATTTCAGTTATTTTACATAATGCAGGCGGGCGTTGTTGTTTTCCCATAACTGCCGTCTGCTGCGCGCGCAGCTTTGATACACTAATGTATATACCACAGTACATTATATAATATACTCGCGGTGGCGGTGGAGGTGTCGCGAGATCATACTTTTTTCCTCACTCGCAAATGCTTTTTATATGGGGTGCCCAACGTGCCTAAAGAAGTATTCACTTAAAAAAAATCGAAAAATTTGCATGGGGCGGTAAAGTGCACTTGTTCCATATATATATCTGTATTGTACATTTGTGGTATTTGTGGTGTTATTTAATATAACAGCACAAATCTAATTTATAGTATTTTTTAGAATTATTAATACACGAAGTTATATATCTATTGCCGCACGCCGCTCATGGTCACGCGCTCGATATTACTACACACGTATTGTATACGCGGTACCATCGATATTATTATTATTAATGTGTACGCGAGCAACTGCTCGCGTATTATATTTTATATTTACGCGGCGCGTATATTATATGATTACGTACATAATATTATAATGTGATTTAGACAAGTCATTTGGTATCCTACCAGTCACAGCTCGTTACAAAATTGTTACTAGGTACTTAAAATTTGTGAGCCATAACTATATTATTTTTAAAAATTAAAATTAGACGACTTCAATAACTTTAATTTCGTTAAAACAATTAGTAAGTTGCTGTAAATTTCGTAAAGTGAATTTTATATTACAAAAGAGTTGTTGACTTGTGCATGTATCATGTATCTATAAGATAGGCATTTATTGAACCCCCTCACTCTGATTATCTTTTACGACTAACACATGAATCCCAGGTGACTTTGACGAGAATAGAAACTACCCCTTAAATAATTAAATGTATAATATAATTGGTATATTTTATTAAATTTTGATTTATAGTGTTCCTATTGAATTTTATCACAATATTAGGTATATATTATTATTAAAACTCCCAGTAATTTTCAACAGGAAAATAAAAAAAAAATTAAGGAAAAACGGGTATTTTTACTCAAATAGGTTTTCGAAAAAATCGATCTTGGTTTTAGGTGTAACGCTTATTAAACAAATGACTGTAGATACGTCATTACATTTTCACTGAATGTTCATCATAGCATTGTATATACAAAATAAAATTTTCAAAATATTTTGACTTGTCTCGAGCTGCTTATGGACATTTTCAGTATATTATTTTTTTTTTCCCATAGAGGTCTTTAAAATTTTATTAGTTA